ACACAAAGACATCTAATGCTTTCATTACTTGAGAAAGGAACTGAAAGCATCCACAAGAAAGAAAAGGACAAGGCGTGTGTGAGACTAATCTATTGTGAGAACCATGACCTATACAGAACAAAAGAAGGAAGTGTGGTGTTGGAAAGCTGAGATTCATCTAGAAAGAGCCCCATAGAGTCACCCAACTCCCTTTGGTCTACCTGGCCAGTAAATAAGAAAAGCCAAGTTTCCTCTTCAGAAGAAAAGACTAAGCCAAATGTCTTAAAACATCACACAGTAGAAGTTACAGGAAGGGTGTTTCAGTGCTAGCAGAAAATTTCCTCACAGTACTGGCACTCTGACAGGGTAACAAATTGCCCAGAGAGGTGGTAGGCTCTCTGAATGAGTTCAACCAGAGGCTGCAAAGGTGTCTGTCAAATGTTCTTGAAGTTGGATTTCTGCACAGAGCAGGTGATTGGCTTCAGTGAGATAGAGATAGAGAGGTAGATATATTTCAGTTCTACAACTCAATGAGTTTATGAAAATTGATATTAATTATTTGTGTAGCCTTTGGAATAATGAGCTTGACTGTCTTTGTTTTTCAAAACATTGGCAAATTGGTAGAAAAATAGTGGAACACTTAAAGTTGCTTTATGGATAATTATTTGTATTTGTATTGAATTATCTGTATATTTTGCTCTACGTGACCAGATCACCTCAACACATTTCTTTTCTACTGCTCATTCACTTTTGTATTTTGCACACATTCATTCATCCTGTCTCTTTTTCTTTTACCAAACACTTCCTACTAAATTCAACTTACTTTTATGTTTCTTGTGACATACCCCATATAGCAAAGTGGACACAAGTTCAAGGAAGAAAGCAAGGATACAGTGGGATTGAGTGCAGATGTCTGGTTGTCTCTACATCAGGAATGCTGTCAGAAAGAACTGCAACTTCCTGTACTGTATCTTAGACTGCTAATTACACTTTCTGAGAGAAATGCTATTTCATTAAGATACCGCATTTATCGGCGTATAACATGCACTTTTTCCCCTAAAATTTGTGGCTGAAATCCTAGCTGCACGTTATACGCCGATATCCTCTGCGGTTTCTCACCTCAAGCAGCAGGGCTGGGAGAGCAAAGCACCGGCAGCTGGGAGAGGATTTCTTTTTTGGCAGCCATATCCCAGCGCTGCCGCTCCAGACGGCCCCAGGGGGAGGTGCAGGGCCTGTGGCTTGCTGTGCAACGCCCCCTGGCTGCTTGCTGAGAGCTGCGCCTGGCCCCTCTCAGATCGCCCCAGGACTGGCGAACATGGAACATGCAGCCTCTCCTCAGGCTCCCTGCGGCCTTGCCTATTCCTCCCTCCTTCCTGTCGCTGTGTCTGCGTGTGTGTATGTGTGTCTCCAAAGGCTGCACTGCTTTGGGAGCACGGGAGAGTCTGGGGACCCTAGTTCTCCAGTACTCCTTGTGTCAGAGCAAAGCGCAAAGAGCAGATCTGTAGGGTCAGAGGCTCGGTGTGGCAGGAGGTGCCCCGCTCTGCCCAGGAGCTCCTTGTTTTCATGTTCAAAGCCTGTCTCCTGTGCCCTCCTCGAGTCTCTCAAAATCACTGAGCAGCAGGGGAGGAATAAAAACTGCACAAACGTGCAGGCACGCACACACACCCCTGCTCTCCGTGAGACATACACTCACACACACACAGAGGCGCTTAACTCTTCCTCCTCCACAGCATACTCGGGACAGCGCTGGTTTGCAAAGTCGCAGGCCTGGGGAATGGGTGGTGCGCGGCTCCCTGCCCACCCCGTTTTAGCAAACCAAGGAGCCCTGCAGTGCAGCCTTCTGAGGAGCGCAGATCCCCTCACCAGGGCAGTGCAGAGCGGCGCCGGCGCTCACCTCTCTGGACTGCGCAGTCCCTCAGCCAGGGCAGAATCAGAGGCTCGGTGCAGTGGGAGGTGCCCCACTCTGCCCGGGAGCATCTGGCTTTCCTGTCCAAAGCCAGGCCTCCTCTGCTCTCAGCGACACACACACACACACCCCTCTGCTCTCGGTGAGACACACACACACTTAACTCTTCCTCCTCCAGGTGCAGGGCGCTCAGGACAGCAGCTGGTTTGCAAAGTCAAAGGCCCAGTGAATGGGTGGCACGCGGCTCCCTGCCTGCCCCGTTTTAGCAAACTGAGGAGCCCTGCGGATCTGCTCTTTGCGCTTTGCTCTGACATGGTCCTGGACTCTCCCATACTCCCAACAGCGAGGTTGAGCCCTGAAGGAAGGGGGATGCCCCTCTGCGCCAAAGTTTCTCCCCACCGGAAGGAGGGAGGAACAGGTGAGGCCGCGGGGAGGTGGAGGAGAGGTTGCATCTTCCGTGCTCACCAGTCCTGGGGTGATCCAAGAGGGGTTGGGCGCAGCTGTCAGCGGGCAGCCAGGGAGGCATTGTGCAGTGCACCACGGGCCCCGCGCCTCCCCCTGCGGCCATTTGGAGTGGCAGTGCTGGGTTGCGGCAACTGACAAAAAAGAAATGCTCTCCTGGCTGCTGGCGTGGGTGATGTTACTAAAGACTGCAAACAGAGGAGGCATACCCTACTAATAAATTACTGTACCCCCCAATCCACTCGGACCACCAGGGATTTTTAGCCCCTACTGGTCCACCAGAGATCTTATCTGCCTGCCTGCTGCAGACAGGTAAGCAGGAAGAGAGGGAATAAGTACCAGTATGGCAATAAACAGATTACCATTACTATACACTACACACAACTAACAAACACTAATGGTACACACACACTACACACAGCCAGCCTACAACATACAAAAGAGGCACTTTTTCTTTTATATTACGTATTTACCTTATAAGTGATATAAATATTAATAAACAAAAAGTTCAGAGCTCCCTTTATTTTGCTTCCAAGTCATATATTTTTAATGGTACACACACACTACACACAGCCAGCCTACAACATACAAAAGAGGCACTTTTTCTTTTATATTACGTATTTACCTTATAAGTGATATAAATATTAATAAACAAAAAGTTCAGAGCTCCCTTTATTTTGCTTCCAAGTCATATATTTTAAATTTACGTTTTTTTATTCAAACTTTCTTCTTAAAATTAAGATGCGTGTTATACACCTGTGCATGTTATATGCCAATAAGTATGGTAATTGGAATGTTAACATAAACAAATCAAGGCAGAATGAACTATTATGTTAGTCTGATTGGAAACTGCCCTTCACGCTAAGTATGTAGCTGGTAAAATAACTATGAAAAGGATTGACCAGCATGGATTACAGAGAGTGGCTGAGAGGAGGGAGTTCATCATTCCCAGTTCTGTCTGTGGATCTATTCTTTGGTGCAGCAGATTGGGAGTGAAAGTTGGGGTGTAGTGTGGTCATGTGAGGGGTGGTTCTGCTGTCCCTTAAAGAGGCAGTAGTTTGCCTGCTCCTAAGAAGCCATCATTAGAGCCAACTGTGCTAGACAATTTTTGTCCAGTTTCCAAACTTCCTTTTTTAGAAAAGGTTGTAGAGAAGGTTGCAGAGATTTCCATCTTTAAGTTTAATGGCAGTTCCCCAGTCAGAATTGGTGTGGAATCTGGTGGTCCTCCTGGACTTTCAGTTCCTGCTTGAAAAGCAGATAGCAGACATAGCAGGGGGGCTTTTGCACAGGTTTGTCTTGTGTACCAGTTGCTCCCATTCCTGGACTGGGAGGCCTTGCTCATGGTGACTCATGATTTAGTCACCTCTCATTTGGATTATGGTAATGCACTCTACATTGGGCTGCCCTTGAAGAGCACTCAGAAGCTGCAGCTGGTCCAGAATGCAGTGGTACAGGTAGTTTTCGGCATTTCTAATTACACCCATGTAATACCAGCGCTCTGCAAGCTGCACTGGCTCCTGGTTGGCTTCTGGGTGCAGTTCAAGGTGCTGGTCATCACGTATAAAGCCCTTCATGGCTACTTGCAGGACCGCCTTTCTCCTATTCTTTCTGCCCACATCACCATATCTGGTAGAGAGCATGCTCCAGGTACCTTCTATTAAACAATGGCATCTTGTTGGACCCTAGAGTCATTCTTTCTTGGTGGCTTCACCTGCCCTGTGGAACAGCATCCCCTGGAGATTTGGATGGGCCCAACCCTCTTAGTCTTTCACAAGGCATTGAAGACCTGGCTCTAGGCAGTTGGGTCAGAGTGGAGATAAGCTGTACTAGTATGGATGTTTGATAGGTAATAGTTTATCCTTGGGCGTCAATGGGCATTATGTTTGGGGGTTTTGTTTGTTTTTAATCTTGTAAACCACAGAGTCTTACACAGCCACAGAGCCACTTTTGGTGAGATGGGCAGCTATATAAATGACATAAAGAAATAAATGATATAAAAGCTAAAACAACATTAAGAAAGAGGATAATTTAAATTGATATGCAGTCTGATCATGATAGAAATTCCCTAAATTTAATAATTGGGAATAGAATCTTCAACTCCAGGTGGTAAATTACTTTGAGAATCTCTATATAATGAAGTATTGCAGAATATTTATTTTTGTGACATTTAATCCACTCCTCAACAATTCTAGAAGACAGGAATAAAAAATAACCATAATGTGAAAGAATTTGCTCTTGTAGGGAGCTGTAATAGAAACTCCAGCTCAAGATTTCCAATACTGCTCCTTTTAGGAGAATTTTTATAATGGTTTGCTCTATCCTGTAATCCGTAAAATTCCTGGGGCTCAGATTAAATTTATATTGGCTACTTTGCAATTAAAGTAGCCCTTGTTGTTGTTGTTCAGTTGTTAAGTCATGTCCGACTCTTCGTGACCCCATGAACCATATCGCGCCAGGCCTAGACTAACATAAGAAGCTGCAATCTTGTGTCTGGCTGCCAGTCAGGCTTGGTGTTCTCTTTAAGATTCACGTAATTTACTATTTCCAAATAACTGTCATGGATTAAGTGATGGCGTGCTTTACAGAGCACGTTAGGACATTGACTTGTTTCCCAAAATATACTTAATCTTTAATTATCCTACCCAACGTTAGGCTAGTGCATGAAGTGTAAATCAAATGATACAGATATAACTAGAAAAGAGAGAGAGAAGTACTTTAAAACAATGTAGACAATGTACAGATAGTTCTCAAGTTACAGCAGCAATTGGGACTGCAATTTCTGCTGCTAAGTGATGCTGTCATAAAGTGTGATGTCATGTGACTGCATCACTTAGTGACAGCAATCCCTGCAGTTCCTGTTGCTGTTGTTAAGTGAAAATTATGGGACGTTAAGCGAGCACCTCCTTGCAACTTCCTGCCAGCTTCCAACAACCAAAGTCAGCAGGGAAGCCATCAGGAAGTTGCAAATCCTGGGCAGCTCACAAGCAGGCCAGCAGGCAGGTAAGTGGCTTTTGCCAGGTGGGAGAGGGAGCACAAGTGGCCAGGGAGGGTGCACAAGTGGCTAGGGAGGCATGGCATGAGGGCAGGAAGGCTTGGGGAGGGTGCACGAGGGTGTGCAAGTGGCAGGGAAGATGTGGAGCAAGCACGGCGGGGTTTGGGGTGGCTGCTGCCTGGGTGGGGGAGGGTGCACGATGGTATGCGAGTGACCGGGGAGGTGCAACATGAATTCAGAAGGCTCAGGGAAGGTGTGTGAGTGGCCAGCGAAGTGCAGCGTGAGTGTAGAGGGGGTGGGGAAGGGTGCGCAGATAGGGGAGACTTACCTGAGCAACGCTCAACCTTCTTTGCTGGCTTCTCCATTGACTTTGTTTGTAGGAAGCCAGCAAGGAAAATAGCAAATTGCAATCATGTGACCACAGAATGCTGCAACCATCATAAGTGCGAGCAGGTTGCCAGGTGCCCAGATCATGATCACGTGACCATGGGGGTGCTGAGACGGCCAGAATTTCAAGGACTGGTCATAACTACCACTTGTTCAGCTCCATTGTAATTTCAAATGGTCGCTGAATGAGTGGTTGTTAACCGAGGACTACCTGTACAGGAATTGTGATCTATACTCTTGACTAAATTTTAAAGTAAAATCACCTGTTTCTTTAACAGGTAACCAACGAGTCGCTCAATAATAAGTAATATAGCAAAAAGAAAAAGAAAAGAAAAAAAGGAGAATAAACAGAAAGAGGCTGCATTAATCGCATGGTCTTCCTCACCTCTTTCTTTGCACCATTACCTGCAACCTGCACAGATGTATCTTGGAGGCCAGAGGAAATCCTATTGTTCCCTGGGACATTAACATCTCCCACCGAAAAGACAGGAATGAGGGGCCTGAGAAATCGGAACTCACTACTTAAGGATCCACCAGTCAAACAAACATCATAACGG